GGATAATAAACTTAACTATAGAAACCCTCAATCCTAGGTACTACTGTCAAAGCTATATGGCCCGCAGGGAACATTCTACTTTACTTCTCATTCACCTGGCGAACACATCATTTGCTTAGAGTCTAATTCTACGAGGCTTGTGTCATTCGGAGGGAGTAAGCTGGTAAGTACTGGCCCCCACGTCCCTGCTGATGAACACAACCTCAGCACTATTCAGGCATGACATCGGTATGCGGAGCCATGACACCCAGGCTGGCTAGGAACCTATTAGAGGCCTGCGCCCAGATTTCAGCGCAGCAACCAAGGAGGGAGCTGGAGAGCTTGGACGGGGTTCAAAGGAGCGCCACAAAGTTGATTAAAGGGCTTGAAAAATAAGAACTGTGAGGGAGGTTAAAAGAACTGTGATTATTCAGGCTTGAAAACAAGTGAGGGCTGAGGGTGAATTAATAATGGAATTCCAATAAATAAAACTCTTCACGGCACATGGTGATTGGCTATTTCCTAAATGTGCTGAGAACAAACGAGGAGGATTTGTACTTTAGCATCAGAAACTCAATTGTGTGTAAAGAGACTCAATAAATTTAACAATAATAATTTTAAAAAGAGAGACTTTGCTGAGAGCAATCAGATTCTCGGGACCAAATGCATTTGCCTGATAGTAAATCTGACGCTCCGGGGGCTGTAAGTATCCTGAGGTCAGTAGGTGACCATTTAGTACATTATTATTACACTGAAGACTGCTGGGTAAAACAGGGACCGGAGTGGCAGTGAGGGAAAGGGCAGACAGAGACTGAGGGGCTGCTTGCTCTTGAAAAGGAGAGAAAGGAAAGAGGGGAAAAGGGAGCTGTTTTAAAAACCTGCTTCTTCCTTCGCACTGTTTGCACAGCGGATCCACTTAGACATCCGTGTGGGAGAACACGACCTCGAAGCCGCCATCGCTCAGGCCAAGGACAAGGTGAATGAAGTCAGCTTCAAGCTTGAACATCTAATCGAGCAACTTGAGCAAATAGTCAAAGAGCAAAACTATCAAAGGGTCAGTTTGCCTGCTCAGCTCATTTTCTCTCTCCCTGCCAGGAACGTAATTCTGCAGACAAAGTCCCTGAACCAAGGAAAGAATAAACTGCTTGTTCCTTGGCCTTCCTCTCTGAGCCAGACTGTGTGGACACATGGGGTGTGGGAAAGGGCAACCCTGCGCTCTGCCCTCTGGACTGCAGGCTCCTCTAGGACGGGAGGCCGCCGCCCGTTCACCTCTGGGGTGCTTGCTTACAGAATGAATAGATAAGAGCTTCCAAACACAACCCACGTATTGGAAGAGGCTCCGTTTGCCCACTTTCTAAATCACAGTTTTGTTCCTGCAACATCATGTGTTTTCTGGGTCACCGCACTCAGTGGACTCTGGTCAGATGTGGGCTCAGATATGCCCCACCACTCACTGACCTCGCGTCGTCTCCAGGCTCCAGTCCCCTCATCTGGAAAACAGGATGAGGGCAGGTGTGCCTGATGGTGCCCAGCTTACAGTGCAGTAAGAATAAAACCGTGAGACTACCGCTACTGGGTAATGTTCACTTTGCTTAAGAGTGACAGATGTATGAAGCAATAGATCGAATACTTGCTATTTTACACCAAAATACAAAAATGTCTTACATGGTTGATTTTTGCTCCTTGCCTTTGCTAACACCACACCTGGCTTAGAAAGTCAGAGATGACCCTTTGGTGTAAGATGCTAACGGAAACGTTAAGTACATACAGAACCTTGAATGCATACAGAACCTTCCTCTCAAATTCATGCATTAAGTATTTTAACTAAACCTGCCTATTTCTCTTATGTCTAGGACCGTGAAGAAAATTTTCGAATGACCAGTGAAGACACAAACAGCAATGTTTTATGGTGGGCTTTTGCACAAACATTAATCTTTATCTCAGTTGGAATTTTCCAAATGAAGTACCTTAAAGACTTCTTTATTGCCAAGAAGCTTGTCTAAAATGTCAATAAAGACAAATAACTACCTGCTAATCTGCATAATGTTTGAGTTGATAAATCAAAATACACTCATAAATACGTATTACAGCAGGTCCTCAAATAACGTCATTTTGCTCGTCATTTTATTATAACGATGAGAAAAAAAGTCACTTCCCAACTGGGACCACTGTCTGCGGTGTGTGTGTTTCCTCCCACATCCCAGTGATGTGCACAGATTACAGGTGAGGTGGATGGCGCGTCCTGCTGTCCCAGTCTGAGTGAGTGTGGGCAGGTGTGGGTGCCCCTGCGATGGAAGGGCGACCTGTCCAGGGTGGGGTCCCGCCTTGTGCCCTGAGCTGTAGGGATGGACTGGCTACCCTTGACCCTGAACTGGAATAAGCGGGTTGGAAAATCATTATCTCACTTGTTTTCATTAATCTTTCTTAAATGTATAGCTTACATTTATCTCAATGTTTAATATTAGAAGTGTTTTGGGTCTTTATTTAGAAGTTTGATGATGTTTTTGTGACCAGAAACATGCTGCAGGAACTTAACTCGTGTTGGTATCAATTAGCCTACGGTTATATTAGTTTCGTTATGTCATTTTGCTTAACGTCAGTTTCCAAGAACCTGCTGACCACGCTCCGCGAGGATTACCGTTCCTCTGCGGCTTCAGACATCAGCGGCGGAAGGTGACGCTGCAGACCTGTAGCACTCAGAGGAGGCTGCTTTGACAACACAGCTCCCGAGTGGGGTAGGCAAGCCCGTCCTCAGTTCTTATTCCAAACTTGGTGTGAGTCAGCACTGTCCACAGAAATAGTCTCAGCCACTTATGCAAAATTTAAGTTTTCTGGCTGCCACACAAAAAGGGTTTTAAAAGGTGGCAAAAATCAACCCCGGTGACATACATCTAACCCATTATATCAAAAATGTCACCACTTTAACATGTACCAGCACAAATTGCTGCTGCACTACTTTTTCCATGTGGGGTCTTGGGAACGGAGTCCCGTTTTACACCCAGTGCACACCTCAGCTTGGACAGAGCATCGCGGGTCACAGCCACGTCATAGGGGCCACAGCCACATCTCAGGGGCCACAGCCATGTCCAAGAGGCCACAGCCACGTCTCTGGGGGGGGCACGGCCCCATCCAAGAGGCCACAGCCATGTCTCACAGCCACGTCCAAGAGGCCACAGCTACATCCCAGAGGTCACAGCTATGTCCAAGAGGCCACAACCATGTCCTGGGGTCACAGCCACGTCTCAGGGGTCACAGCCATGTCATAGGGGCCACAGCCATGTCCCAGGGGTCACAGCCACATCCAAGAGGCCACAGGCACGTCCCAGGGCCACAGCCACGTCCCAGGGGTCACAGCCACATCCCAGGGCCACAGCCGCGTCTCAGAGGTCACAGCCACGTCGCAGGGGTCACAGCCACGTCCGAGGCCGCAGCCAGGGCAGCAGGGCCGCACTCGGTGAGAGTCACGCGCGCCCCTGCTTCTCCCCGACGCCCGGGAGACACACTGTCCTGCGCGCAGCCCCGCCGGAGCTCCCCTGACACAGGCTCGGCCCGCGGGCCTCGCGGGGTAGGCAGG